TGATTTTTTTTAAACATCATTTATTTGAAACTATATCTGTTCTCCAAGCTACTTACCAGATATATCCAAGTAGAGTTTACTTTTACTAAAGTTACATGCCAGTAACAACTGATTTTCCTGAAAATACAACTCAGCTCTTCTAAAATAAATATCATTATCTGTAGGGCTCCATTGTATTGCAGAGCTATAACTGATGATCACCAATGTATTATCACCTAGTTGCCTGTGAATTTCAGCCATTGACAAGTATGTATCTGAAACAACCACCCAAAATATTAAAGGCACTATTTAGCACCCAAAACAGTAAAACATCTCCCTCTTACAGGGTCATTAACACACGCAGTAGAAACAGAACAGTAGATTATTCAAAAGGTCAGGAAGTTTTAATCTGAGCAACAGAACTCAAAAATTTAGAGCGATAGCTGCATGCTCAAGCGTGGAGCCTCTGCAGCTGTAAACTAAGACCTCTTGTTGGATTCACAGGTACTAAAAATCTCTGCTGTCTGCAGAGCTCTGTAGAAATGGCCCACCAAGCCTTTTAGTGTAGACCTGTTGATCACAAATACATAGAGACTGAGTTTAAATGGGCCCATGCATTTATCCCGCTGTATTGGGTCTGGTCCAGACAGCGCTACCTTTCTTTATAACCACCCATATGGTGCTGTGTGCCCTCTCCCCAGCGACTAGGCTGGGAGTGGGCAAGAAGCTGGAAGGTGACACAGCTGGGACAGCTGACGTAAGTAGGCCAAAGGGATATTCCATACCATATAACATCATGCTCAGCAACAACAAAATAGGGGTAGAGGAAGAAGGTGGGGGCGGATAGGGGGAAGAAATCAAAATCTCCTTTGTTGCAACCTGTGACCATTGCCTCCAGTTTTGCTGTGCATCTCTCAGAAGAGTTTGACTTGGTCTTCACGGTTACCACCCATTATGCAGCTGAGAACAGCTTTACCTCTTAGCCTTACCTTCTCCAGGCTAAGTAACTCACCTCCCTCAGCCTTTCCTTATACAGCTTAGGCTCCAGACTCCTGACCATCTTAATGGCTTCCCAATGGACTCTCTCCAGCTTTTCCGTCTCATACCAGAGGTTCCAAAACTGAACAAAGTATTGGAGGTGCAACATCACACCATGGCGGAGGGGAATCACTTTCCCTGACCTGCAGGACCTGGTCTGTCAACCAGGTGGTGTCTTTCCCTTTTAAGCTCATCCTTCCTAGTTTAAACAATATGGCAGAACAGGGCTGACTGCAGCACAATAGCACACTGACTCCATTATGAGATTGTTACTGCCTTTCCCCATTGAATTAGTGGATATAATTTCCATCAGTTCTTTTTTCCTTTTTTTTTTTTTCTTTTTGGATTTTTTAAAAACACACCAAAATTCAGTACTTGCTTTTGCCTTAGAAGCACAACTTCTGTCCCAATCATTTCAAGACTCATGTCTGCTCTATAATCTTTTATAATATGGATAAAACAACTGATATAAAGTTAAATACATAGAAAAACATTTGCAGAACTAGGGCCAAAGGCAACTAAAGAAAAAACACTGAAAAATTAACTGTTACTTAACAGTTAAGTTACTGTTAAGTTACTGCAATACATACTTACCTGCTTTATTTTTGCTCCATTTAGTTATAAAGTTCAGGAAATCTAAAGCAGCAGAAATTCTGTCTTGAAAGAGGTAAATCAAATGTTTATGCCAGTAAGCATCAAGCAGTAGTGGTTCTAAGCTTATAGCCTATAAACAAAATAAGTAAGTAACTTATTTATATTGCAGAAGGAATTTTCCAAACATGATAACCATAGTACACAGAAAATGAGAAAAAGTTTGCACTGAAATGATTATTTAAGAAAATTCCTAGACTGACAAACTCTTATTTAACCTACAAATCTGAAAAATTTGAATAATGTCAATTGTATTCAAAAGCATCATGTACTTAGATATATGCAGAATCAGAGTTCAAGCTACCAGAATATTTGGCACAAAACGTTAATCAGCTGTGATATTACAATGTTTGATGATTTCCGTAAAATAGTTATCTGAACTATTTCTAGAAGACAAATTTTTCTATTTGAAAGTAAGAAATAATTAACCTCTCCCTGTGAAAAAGCAATCAACTTTTCAAACCATGCTGTTATGACTCTTACAGAAAAGATTCCATAACAAAAATCACTTCACAGGTATTATCGATCAAATAAGATATTTCACATATGTTCATTATGCCTATAAGACACACTTAACAGCAACATGGAAATAAATAGACTGGTACAAATCTGAGACTGTTCTGCTACAACAGCAATGATCAAATTTTGGTCTATAAACCATTTCTACGATCCATAAACCATGTAGGAATTGCATTCAGATATCTTAAAGAGAAAAGTCAATAGTATTTTCACTAAAATATGCAATAGCAATGGCAAGCAATTTTGACAGTTGATACCGGCCCATTGGTCAATGAACCACTTTGCCAGGGTGTGGAATTTTTAGCCTTTCAGATCCTTGACAGTCTGTTTCTAAAGTCTGGGTTGAATAAAAAAAGACACAAGGTAATCATTGAGTTTGTATGAATACAGTAAATTTTCTGGACAGATAATTTATGAAGTTTGGAATGTAATATGTACAGATGGCAGATGCATAAAAAAGGTACTTATGTCCTATTAAAAATAAAAAAGAAAAAAAATAGAATTATCCCAAGAGAAGCATTAACAAAAATAATATTATAAAAAGAAAATTCATCCTGAGACAATAAGCATTTTGGGAAAGGCAAATTCTAGAAACAGCGTAAAATCTGAAGGGTGGATCTCAGTGTAAAACACACTGTGAGCCTCCTTAGAACTTATTGTGGCTTAAGACTGCTAGCTGAAAGGAATGCAGAAACGAACATAAAGCCAAACTGCTTTATACTTCATTGTTTCATTCCTCTGCACATTTCCAAATATTCCAACCAATGGAGCTTTGCATTTTAGCAAAATAAATGCTATTTACATTATTTAAAAGTGCTTGTTTCCAGGGTCACTGGCAGATTGAAGGTGTTCTACTCCCATAGAGCAGTATCAACACAAAAGATGTGGTTCAGTCTTGCATTATCAAGCACTCCATTACAAGGACCACGAACCCCATAGCAGCTGCTGAGGAGTGCTTCCCCAAACACCAAATGCTGTGTTAAGAGCTGAGATGCTGGTTAAGGAAAGGAGGACATCTTTTATGGTATGACGTTATATATAGGATGAAGTACTTTGAGGTCCCAACCTGGTTATAACTAGCTGTGTGTTATGTACATGTTAAATGACAATGAAAATACCATACCGAAAGTACAACAGATGACTTCTTTACCCAGGTTTCAAAAACATACAGAACTATAAGATTGCTTAAAGAATGACTTTGAAACCTTTTACAGCTTCTACATTTAAATTACAGACCAAAAATATTCTTCTTGCTTCTGTTTTTTCAGCAATTTATTCTGGTTTGGTTGTTTCTTTCTAGTTGTGCAGAGTCTTGGGCAGAAGTAATGGCAGGTTTGTGCCACTATAAAGGGAACTTAAGTGTGGAAAAAATAAATATACATAGAAAAACACTAGTATTAGTGTATAAAATCTTAGTGTCAAATGATAGTTTAATTATAAACAGGAAATACATGACTTTTCAATTTATTTGCTTGCTATGCTGTTGCAGAAATTAAAAATATATTTGCCAGCTTTGTCAGCAGCAAAACTTGAAGCAAAAGAATTTCTGTCCTTTTTGTCTATCCATTTAGGATAGACAACTCCATTTAGGAGCGTTGCAACCTGAGCAAGGGTCTCCAAAGAAATATTATGGTGCTTGGAAAACACTAGAGTAAATAAACACAGTTTATGAAGAGCCTGCATCTTCATTCTTGCGGGACTAAACTTGGATCATGCTGTCATACAAAGGCGAAAGGTGGCTGTGTTCAGCTAGTTATCAGCTCCCCTGCTTCTAGTTCTTCACTTGTTGACTAACTCAGAAACTCGGTTGGGGGAAAAAAAAAAAAAAGGTGCTTGATAGAAGTAAAGTTCAGCATTAAACTTACATTTTCCCAAGTCACCCATAGCTGACTTTAACTTGCCTAACTTTCTTTGTATTGCTCCGCGCCTGCAGTAGTGAAAAGCTGAAGGATGCTCTTCCTTTTCTGTTAGTCTTCTTACTTCTTTTTCTAAATCTTCAATACTAACTGTTTCACCTTCTAGAAGAGCAGGCTATATTGAGTCAACTAGTTCTATTTGTAGATTGGCTTCTTGAGAGTTCACTGTCTCAGTTCCTTTTAGTAATTCAGTATCCTTCTCCTCAGAAGCAGTCCCACTAGGAGGGAAAGTTTCATCAAATCAGCAATTCCATATTCCACTGACCCACATGTGAGCAGAAGTTTCTTTCGGAATTCCACCCCTTGCTTTTGCAAACTTTTCAAAATCTAACAAACAAGGGATGCTGGGGCTCAAACTCTTTGATTGCTGAAGACACCTTGATACTGAATTTACCACGAATAGGAAGCCTTCCCAAAGACATAGACCTACGGAAAAATATATTAAAATTAACTAAAGGTTCCCAGATATATTAAGGCTATCAAATTGCAATCTGCCAGTCAACAGAAGTTCAAAAACCTATTGTTAGCTTTCTTGTTAATGATAATTTTTTAACTTACCAGCCATTTATCAAAAAACATTACTAAAACCACAGGTAAGCAGAACTGTTCTGAATGATTCATGTCCCCAGAACGTTCAGCACTTACTCGCAGTTGTATGCTTATTTCCTCCAAAAGCTTCTAACTTAGGTTTACAAGGACAATGCTAAACCTAAGAAAGGACAATATTTCAGAGTGGACAATTACCAGCCTGGCTAAATGGTGATAAATCCTAGATGGATGAATATATCAATGATAAATCCCAATGACATTACAAAGAGGCCATGAGAATATAAGCAAGAAGCAGCACCACTCAGAGGTGAAAAAAAGCACTGGCGTTTACAAGTACACTTCCAAAATGATAATCCGGAAAAATTCATAGTTTCCAATATGAGAACCTTCACAAATGTTTAACATCAACATCTGCTTTGAGATGTCAAACTGAAAGAAACAGAAGTCTTTAACAGAAACACTTAATCTTTATCACAAACAATAGTAGCTTGCTAACACCGAGGGAATACCAGAAGGGAATGCAGAGAAAATATTTTATACATATATATATTCATAATACTATGCACCTAATATTTATAATATTTTATACATAGGGATCCTACTGGGGGGGGGGGGGGAAGGAATTTAAATAAAAAAATGTAACAGGTCCATGCATGAATGAATGAACGACAAGCAAAATAGTCCAAAGATGAAATCCCCTTGGTTTAGCAAAATGGATATTTTGCTGCCTTAGACAGCAAAGAACATACAGTACCCCTGTCTAAAACAAGCCTTTGGGAAAAGGCCACCTTCTCCCTTAGTCACAGCTCAGTATACCAGTATATCACACCACTTAAGTATCTTTGACTTTCTTAAAAATAGAAAGGTGCCTAAAAGCAGAAAAAAAGGAGAAGCTGAATGGAAAACTGGCCTGAAAGACCAGGTCTGAGCATCAGCGGAAGTACAATGCGGACACATATGACTGTACACAAAAATAGAAAACATTTAGGGGGTTTTTTAGGTCACACTTCAAACGTAAGTGTTTGAGAAATACCAAAAAAACTAGCAAGAGTATTAATTTGTTTTATTTTCTTTGTTGTTTTTTTTAATACTTGAATATTTTCTAAGGTACTCCATATCTGAAGTACGTATGTAATAAAGATTGACTAGAAAAATATTTAGTCATACACGAAAACAAAAGGTAAAAAGCAAACTACTTGCTCAACGTAATCCACGAAGTTCATGGTACAGAGGATGTTAGTCCAGCCTAGCATTTTGGTTTCCTAAGAACTCAGAATTTCCCCCTTGTCTTTCAGAAGGAAGGTTGACCATTTTAATAATGCATTTACACTTAGATAAAACTCTTCTGTTGTTGCACAAAGCAACACCATTTCCATTTAAAGTGCAGTTATATATTAAATGCCCAAAAGATATCTGAGCAGCATGTATTTTTTCTTTGCATTAAAAAATACAATTTTTCACAAATAACTAATTATTAGTATTTCATTTCAGAGCAATATTAAGTACTAAAAAATTATAAAACCTGCAATTAGATAATATGGCTACAAATTAAAATACATTCTTTAAAATGGAATACACATTAATTAAAGAAAACTTTTTAAGAATCTTTGGGGGTTGACTTAATTTCTTAATCGCATCTTCTAATTTTCTAGGGTTTATTATTTTCTTCGATTTCTTTGCTTTATTTCTTCTTGGGAAAACAGTATTTTTAATCTGAGCTTTTTGAGGTTGCTCCACAAGAACAATGTCATTCTCAATATTCTCTTGTCCAGTGAAAGTAGATGTGTTTTCTACTGGTGTGTCTGTCTGCATTGACTGAAGATCATCACAGATTTGATTCAATAGCTGCTTGGTAGGGGAGCTTTTCCCGATCTCTGTTTCAACCTTTTGCTCAGCTATCCATTGCTTCATAACCTTCAACTCTTTCATGCTGGTTTTGAAATTAGCTGACATATTTAACAGAGTTTCATCTTTGAAAGCAGTCATCTCCAGAGCTGAGACTGATCTTTTAATCAAACTTCTCTGTTAAAAAAAAAAGGAAACTTAATTTAGTTAGATGTTCATTTGAAATAAGATTTCCTTAGTTTTAATGGACTGGATTTTATTTTATATAAAATTGTAAAGAAAAAAAAGAGCTTCATGGGGACTACACTGTTGAAAAAAAATTACAGTATTTAATGGGAAAAAAGATCTGCATACCTTGGGATATGTGTCAAAGCAAAGAGATCTGAAACATTAATTCAAAGTTATTTGAAGCTCATAAAGGGCTAAAATAAATCTTCTCTTAAAAGTATCACCAGAAATTTGAATTAAATACCCCCACTCCTTGTAGGAAAGTTAAATTTTAAAATCAAAGATGTATGCTACTAGTGGTGACATTTACAAAACGATGAACTGAGATATATTAATGGACTCAGAAGACAGGACTCTCTATGTTTGGAAGTACAATTGTATTATACAGACACACAGTTAATATCTGTGTGGAATTATGCACTCTCATATTTTGTACCCTCATCCCTGAATCACCTGACAAAATTGAGACCAAAAGAATAACTGTTATCCTCTGGTATTTAATTGTTATTAATTATTAAGCAAGCACTATTTGCAATAACAAAGCTAATGTTTTCTCAGTCTTTTTGTTAATTCCAGTTCACTAACTTGCATTATAGTACTAGGTATATCACACCTTTGTCAAAGAAATTAAAATGTAATTTCATGTCCACCACCTGAAATTTACCGAGGGAAACACTAGTTAGCAATAAATAAAATAAAAAAGTAAATTAAGTATTTAATAATTTTAAATAATTTTTAATTAGACTCAAAGAATCACTTTTTCAATACTTGGCTACAGTCATCTGCTAAGAATTATTGAATTTGTACATTCATTAGAAAGACACTGCAAACTGTGAAGTTTTGAAAAGGTAAAAAAGAATCTGTATGTCACATGTATGCCACTTCTCTTTACAAAAATCCTATTTTTAAAAAAATCTAAGCTTCATACTGACTTATTAAAAAGCTAAAACTCAGTATAAAGCTATCAGTTATCACTACATGTATTTCTCATTAGCTGTCATTTATGACCAAATCAAATAGTTTGACTGCAAATTGCATAAATATTAAATTGTTACTTGATAAATTCTTTTAATGAACTATGCATAGTTTTGCTAAAGGATTGCAAGCTGAATTCAACAAGACTGCTTCTATTTGAACATGAAACTAGTATTATAAAAATGAAGCATCAACGCTTAGTTCAAATTGCAAATCTGGTGTTTAAATTATTTTATTTATCATTGCATATGAACTGCTGCCATGCTACACGTCCATCTTCAAAATAACATGGTCACAACATTTTGTTTTTATGGACTATATAGAAGTTTTAAATTCATAGTCTTCAAATTCTTACTCAAAATCAAATTTGTTAATAAAATATTACTTGTATAATGTTATCAAGGTCATCTTTGCACAAGTGTAAAGTTTCCACCATTTACTGCTGCTTTCTGTATTTTGTGAAACAGCTAATACAACTTCAATAGCCATAGAAGTACATAGCACTTTATAGATTGGAAACTTGACAACATTGATGCCCTGATATGTCTGAAATCCAAGGACCTGATACCACAAATGTTTACTCAGATACGTTGTTCCACTCATCTCAGGTTAACTAGACTACTCACACTTATCTCTACCTCCAAATGCCCGCAAATTTAACAGGGGAGCTATGTTCTCCTATTTCATGTAACCAGTCTACTTGAAAAAGACCTTTGAGACTTTCACTTTTGCATATAATAGTTCAATTCAGTTCAGTGGACTAATTTCTTCCACAAAATCACAGTTCAGGAATAAATACCATTAAATAGAAGATAATACCTCTGAGCTCTCACTGTCAGAAAAATCGCGCAAGGACTGTCATCTTCTCAGGAAACTTTTTGTCTACAGATAAAAAGTAAAATAAGGTTGAATCAGTCTAAGCCTAATACGAACAGAGCTTTTAAAAGCAAAGACTGTCAAAAATAGAGCTAATGTCTAAATAAATCTGTATTTTCAAAAAAAAAAACCAACCCCACCTTTCCCAGAGTGAAGTAAGGACTGCATTTGTCTGGATTTCTGGATGTCTTAAGCCCATTCCATTGCCAGATGTCAAAAAATCTAAGATATATTCAATATATTCATATAGATTTATGCTAAAGAGCAAGCACAGTCAGTGGACATGCTCTCTATATGTGCTGTAGATGCTCCAGTCTCAGAACACACCGCGGCTATGCCACACCATTGATCACCTAGTGAATTTACTGTGTGTATAGAGATGTCTTACCAATGAACATGAACACTTCTTCGAAGTGTCATATTCACTCCACATTAAATTACATTAGTCACACACACATTCCTATCTTAGGAATCCCAGACGAAAATAGCCACATAACATCATCACACCCATAGTTTCCAACGAGAGTATTACTTCTTCCTGAGAATCTGCATGTTCTTCATCTGTTTTAATTGCTGTTATTAATAGCCCTACTTGTACCATAGTAACAGTCATCTTTTTCAGTAAAACAGGTGTTCCAAATAGGTCTACAAGCAAACATAGAATAAAATGTTTTAGTACTGCAGACTTTATTACTTCCAATTACTATATCTAATGGCCCAGTCAACCTGTAGGCAAAGGACCACCAGCACTTTTCATCTCTGCTGGACAATTCCAAATCAATTTATAGTTACATATACAGCTATAACCTCTTTGTGCCTGAAGTCAAACATGGTACAAAATTCCGGATAGTTTTTAGCCAAACACAAAATAACTATTTTAAGTTGCTGCTGCTGGAGGACATAGGAGATGTACAAAGATGATGGCAGAATTCTTGCTTTTTGACACACTAAATAAGATTCTCCTCATTATTTCCAGCCAGCCCCTGCAAGAAATGTACAAACCAGCAAGTGGTTGTTTATCACAATCATCATCTATAAGTCATATACTCTTGAATGACATATTCACAGATAGCCATAGTCACTGTTAAAAGAGCTTCTTTCAAAGACAAAAGCAAGCATGTCTTGCCCAGCATGTTTCACCTTTGAATAGGAAACATATTATCCAACAGATCTTAACTGCAGATGGACACCTAAATTTTAATATAAAACAATGCCTCCAAACACTAAGTTATACCTGGGAGCTCAGCTTCAGTAATAATATGCTAGCCTCAGCTTGTCCATTTCTGGCTGCAAATACACCTATGCATTAGTTTTCCTCAGTTCCAGCTGAGATCTCAGCAACATCACTGGCCATTTCCAAGGTTTCAGCTACTGTAACACTCAGTTGTAGCTCAAACTGTCTGGTAAAGAAACCCATGGGATTTGGGTAAGCTTTTACCCACTTCCACCTCTTGGATCAATTCACTTGAAATAGCTAACCTTATGTAAACTCATATAACTGAACACCATCCTTAGGCACTTCAGGTTCTGTGTGGGGCCTACAGCTCTCATTTCCTACATTGCCTCCATGAACTAGGTCAAAAGTGTTTCAGATAGTCAGGATTCTGTAACTGAAAAGACCCACACTGCAGCTTACAGCCACGCTTCAATCTTTCACTTGCAAACCACCTGCATAGAATTGTTTGCCTATCCTTTAATATTACATTCAGAGACATTCTAGATAAAAAAATTCACACACTTGGAAACACCTCTTTTCTCCTATTCTGCTTCTTGACTCCTGCAGTTTTTTAGATGCCTGGGCATAGTGGAACATCCAGTAAACTGCTCCATTGAGATACGTTATATTACTCAAAACCTGTTATTTAGATCACAGGACCTCCCCTAAATCATCACCTAGTGCTATAATGATGCAAAATAAGAAGCATCTTTAAAACATGCAATGACTCTTTCCAAGCACAGTCTCAAGTTTAAAAAGTGTGATTTAGCATTTTCTAGCTATTAAAAAATGAGCAAATATCTAACATAAAACTGTTTCTAGAAGTCAATTATATAGAAATATTTTGTCTTATGACTAGATCTTCAAACTATGAATTGTTTTGCTAAACTCAATTTTTAGTGTTACATTAAAAAAAACTGTACTGTAATACATACCAGTCCATAATCATAGAAATCATGATCATCTTGTTCAGCTAACTCTTCATCATGATCAGTTAAGAAGTCTTCAAATACAACATCCTCAATAGCATTGCTCTGAAATATTAATATATTTGCATATTTGAATATAAGCAATACTATTATTTTAGTCAGCTATAAACATAGTAACAGATAAATAAATAAAGCCTACAATGTATTTGAGATAAAGATTTGTGACGATCAAGACAAACATCACAGAAGTCATTTATCCCAGGCTTCTGATGGAGCACATTCTTTAATGTGATCAAGTACTACATTGTGCAAAAGAAATCTGAGGAAACTGATTATTGCTACCCAACTCTTTAAAGTTTTCATCTTTGGTAATTTAAGTCAGGTCATGGTATTCCACAGAGTAAGAAGAACACAGCTCTTAATTTGGTCAGAGTAAGGCTAGGAGATAGCAAACCGTCAGGTTTATTCCTGCTATCAGTTGATCCATGCATAAGTGTGCTTTATGCTTTAACTCTAGCACAGGACTGTGAAGTGGTCATGAAATGCTAGTTACTCTGTAACCTTTGCCATATGAAGGTGCAGAGCTCTACAAATATGGGCATACAATAGGTATGTCCTTTTACATGAATGGCTCATCTCTCACAATAACGTAATCATGGTGGAGATTTTACATGCAAAACATTTCAAAACTCAAAAACATTGGCATTTTCTAAAGTGGACTTTGTTAAATATAAAAAAAATATTTTACTACATTTTAATAGAAATCACTGCCAGCATAGCATAGCAGAATAAAAACTATGCAAAAGTACCTTTCAACATAAAGGTAAAGACATTAAGCAAGATAACAACAAGTGGCAATTAAGAATAACTACTACCAGAAGATTTATTATTGGAAAATGAAATTAAACAATACTATTCAATACATATTATTACAAATTGTACAATGACTTCTATACATGCTTACAACAGAAATGTTAATACGATAGCAGCACAAAATACAACTATTACAGTTAACAACATGTTAGAAAAAGATGTATATTTCTGCAAAAGTTGAGAACACTAAAAATGCATTTAAAATATTTACTTCATATGTAGGAAATAAAATTTCCTTTAATGAAGAAATTGGAGCAGAGAATTTTGGTGGAGCGGGAGCCCAAAACATTTTTAAAGCTTCTGGATAAATGGGGAAACCTTCAAAACCAATACAATTCAGTTACCAATTAACATAAACCCAGTTTATAAATCTCTCTACTGAATCTCAACTATTAGGTGATAAAATGCTGTTTTCTGCTAAACATGATTTTGTCAAAAACCTCCCCACCAAATACAATGAAATCCTGAAAGGTATAGGGCTCCACAGACTGAATGAACTACTTGGTTTGCCCTTTTAGTGGTTTTGTTATTAATTAGCACATTAGCATATTTTATTACTTCAGAGAAGGAATTAAGAACTGAAACATGAGATTTCAGAACAACACACCCCATTGATGAAAAGCTCCATATACATCTTTATATTCCATACTGCCAAAAGTTGAAAAATCAGCCAAACTCTATTTCCAAGGTGTTCTGCTCTTTTGTTGCATGACACAATAAAGAAAAAACCACTTCTTTTTTTCCCCTGGATTTTGTGTCTTCATTCATAGGATTGTGCACGTACAGCACGCATTTATTAAAATTGTTTCTTACTTTCTCTCCTAACAGTTGCAGTTGTGGCTCAAGACAATATTCAGCTACTTTTTGGCATTCAGTTAGACTTTTTTGATGTATGAGGGGGATGAAAGTGAATCCCATCTGTCCGATTATTCTGGAATTGCTCTGAAATAGGAACTCCTTCACAGCAAAATTGCAGCAACATAAAAGATCAATAAATTACTCTGATTATGTCAGGTATTAACAGCACAGAAATAGCTTGGTTGTTAAGGAAAAAGAAAATTAGGTAAAATTTAAATCAAATTAGAAATAAATTATGAATAAAACTTTTTTTTTTTCCCTGAAGATTGAAATTACTTAATATATAATGGAAGCCTGGTCCCAGAATTGTAATTTTTATAGTCACACACGTCAAATAATTTTAAGAACACTTTCATGATCAGGTCCATGGTGTATATTATAGAAGTCATGAAAAAATATATCACTAAGCTCTAAATTAGTATGAAATACATTCATGCATAACTTCATGCATGGCAAATAGACCACTCAAGTGCTGTGCTTACAGTCAGATATACTTAAATGCCAAAGAGAAATGATTTCA